CAGTCTCTGGTTTTCAATCTGTTTTTGACAAACAGTTACAGAGTTTATTCAGATAAAATATTTGTGATTCAGCATATTAAATAAAACTGCTGAAAAGGAGAACGTGTGGGGTTTTAGAATTCTCTTTAGAGAATTTAAAAATTCTCCTAGAGAATGTTCTAAAGATGCTCCTAGAAAAGTGAATGCTAAAAATCCTGTGAAGTCCCTTCTATGGGTAACACAAATGTTTGCCTCCTCTCGTTGATGGCAAAGTGAAACAGCTCATGAAGAGGTTGTTGCCATGTTACAAGCACTTTGCCCTCCCAGTTAAATCAACTAGGTTTGAAAGCTGTTGCTCTGAAATTCTAGCTCTTATCAGTTGGCTATCTGCCCCCTGAACATAAGCAGTGGGGGTGAGTTACGTCGACAGTTTAGATTCCTGGCAGCTCTCCAGACGAATTAGTTTAAACCAGCTCAGGCAAATGGCCACAGGAGCCACATGCAATTTGAAGTGTTGCTGTGTATAAATCCTTGCAAGAGAAAACACCAGTGGATGTGGAATCTAGTCAGTGAGGGCTAGGAAGTGCTGCAGGGACCTTAGGGGGATCCAGACTGGCCCTGAACTGTTCTGTTACCAGTGCCCGGCAGAGCTGGAGTATGGGATGTGTTTTGGTTGTGATGGGAACTTTGGCAGGGATTAGATGATGTTTAATAAGCGTAGTTACGCTGCTTCAGGGCCTGCCCAGCTTGGGTGAGCAGAGTTTGCACATCAGCACTGTGCTTCCCAGCATCTCTGGTTCCTGAAGCAGCGTGAGACTCCTCTTTCGCCATTGTTAAAATATCTCATTAGTGTAAAACTTGGAGACACGGCCAAACAAGTAGACAGTGTATTTTGGTCACAGATAAGAAGCTTTTGTCTTTGATGCATGGAAATTCTTGGCATGTAGTAATAATATGAAGTTAGAAAATGTGTTCCCAGTTAGTATGTTATTTTAAAAAAAAAAAAATACTGAAGTTTTAAAACGCTGAGGATCTCTGGTTTTTGATTTGGTAACTTCATAGAATTTTTTTCTATTTCATTTCAGTAATAAATATATTAAATATGCAGATAAGTAATACTAGCTATAGAACACAGGTAGGCATAAACATCAGTGAAGGTAACGTGAGAGTTGAGTGTGATGGAAGATGGTGGCACGGAGGTGAGAAAGTACTTCTGCAGTGAGTTTTAAATGGGGTACAGTGTTGAAGACTTGGGGCCATGAAAGGCACCGAGAAGGAAAAATCCGTTTAGGACAAGTGCTAGTGACAGGACTGACCTTCCTGAGCACTGACTGAGACTGTGTAATGGCTGGGCTTTAAGCAACCCGCAATTCCCAACTTGGCAGTCCCAGCAGTGCTCCTGTGGGAGGGGCCCCAAGGTAAACTTGTGTCTCTCCTGCAGAAAATACAGCTGAGAAGGGCCAGTAGGGACAGTGATGAGGGACTGAGCAAACCTCAACAACAGGGAAGTTTTGAACGGCCTCTTGCAATAATGGCCCTTCCCTCCCCAGGCACAGTGGTGAACAGCACTGTGAGCACTAGGCCGTTCTGCACTCCTGACAGTCTGCCCGGCAGCGAGTGTTTGGAGTGTTCCCGGTGAAAAGGGATGCACGGTCATGCCTTGTATCATCCGTTAGCTGAAAAGAGTTGAGTTCTGTGAAATTATGTGGGGAAGTGGCTGGATTATACCTGGTAGACTGCAAAAGGAGCAGCATATCCCTAGTGCTTTCAGAGGTAGGTCCTAGATCTACAGAAAACCAAGTCATGATTTTAGTCACGACCTTGAGAAACCGCTTATTCTGATGGATTAGACTCAAGTACATAGCATTACAGATTGATGTAACGTTCTGTGTTTTGAGGTTGCTCTTCCTACCCCCCACCCCAGAGCCCAGCATTGCCCTCCAATGGCTGCCGAGCGGTTTTGTAATTGCAAAATGAGATTCTATCATGTATACTCTTACCAACAACAACAAAAAAAGTTTGCACATCGTTGTCTGGTTTCATGTGACAAGCTTTACTTCACCTTTGTAGGAAATTATCAAGATAAATTAGTGATCTTTTCTATTATCTTAATATTGCACATTTAATTGCAACTCTTTTGGTGACTTTTCCAGGAGGATGACCAATTGCTCTCTTGCTTAGTTTATATTCTGTTGCCATTCTAATGGGATGAGTGAAGAGGATATTGTTTAATTTTCCTCTCCTCTGCAGGGCTTTGGTTTGCGACACTTCTCTATGAAATTATCCATGTGTTTCCTTAGTAATTTTCAAGGAAGTGTTAAGTTCATTATTATACAGAAAAGGATGACATCCAAGGTGCCTCTTGTTGTGGCATTGTTTTGAATTTTGTTCCAAAAATTTTGTTTAAAAGGATGTTTAAATGCTTCTTGTATTATGGAACACATTAGAGTGAATTTAAAATTCTTCCCCAAATTTATTCTGAACCTTTTTTGACAACAACAACAACAACAACAAATTGTGGGGAGGGGGAATTTCTTATAAATGCTTGTAAGGGTACTTATAAACATTTGCTTCTTGGATTCCTGGAATTGGAAGCAACTGTATATTGTGCAACTTCCCAAATCCGTGTAGCTAATTATCTACAATAAACTGTCTAAAAGCAAACAGATTAGATGGGTATATCTCACAAGAAAAGTTTTATGCGGGTGTTCCACCTCTGATCTGGAAACAGAATTGGTAGGCATTTTCCATTTATTTTGGAAAGACTAGCACTGGTAGTGGGGGATTATCTGTGGGTTCTTTTATTAGTGACATGTAGACAGAGCAGCGGTATAAAGGAAGGAAGCAAGCCTTTTGCCTTTCATTCGTTCAGTTTGTTTTTTCAGAAATGGTAAAATTTTAATAACTGTATTTCAGAGGGTGAGAAGGTGTGTCTGTACTTGGTTCTGTACAGTGCCTGTTGTAATGGGCTTCTGAGCTTGGTTAAAGTCTGTAAACTCTGCTGTATTCTTTGGGTCAAGTTCTTAACCAGTAACTCAGCTCACAGATATTTAATGGCATTTTTTACAACACTAAGTAGGAATGGAGGTTTAGTAGCGATGGTACAGTATGGACGAATAACTGGTGATTTGATATTATTTAAGTAATCTATTTTTCCTTTTTTTTTTTTTTTTTTTTAATATATTCCTGAGATTCTTTGAAAAGGAAAGAAATAAACCTGAAATTCTGTATTGGTTCAATGTCTGGACTACCTTACATTGCCATGAGGCAGTAAGCTTGGCTTTTATGGACTGCTGATGGCCAAATCAGTTGTTATGTTTTTTCACGTTTTTTCTATCATTTTCTCATGTCTATGTTTGACGGTGCAGAAAGAACACCAATTCAGGGACCATCCAGCAAGTATGCTGTATCTTGACTTGGCCGTTCAAAGGCCAGTGCTAACCCTGCTTACGTGTGAAGAAGGTAGGACCATGCTCAGGTAGTGCTTAAGCCTGCTGTAACTCATTTAGTGACTCTTTTTTCTGCCGATGCACTCGTGTGTTCTGTACAGTATGTGTCCTGGGTGACATCAGAGCAACCAAAACATTCTGTGTCATGGAAGGGATCAATATTTGGGGGGCAAGATTAGGAGTACAAGATGCTTTACAGTCTGAGTGAGAAAGGGCTTTGTTCAACATTGTGGAGTTATTGCATCCAGTGTTCTGTAAGGTGCTGCAAGCAAACGCTGTATTTGCTTGAAAAATAGAAACCTGCTACTGAAGGGATGAAGGGGGAAAAAGCACTTGGAAATGGATTCAATTCTGTGCTGAAAGTTTAAATGCTGCACCTTCTTGTTCTGCTTATGAAATGCGAACCAGTTGGTTAAATCTGTTTTCTAAATGCAAAACTTCTTACTTGAAGGTGGATTTGAGGCAGTGCCCGTGCTGGAGGGTAGGAAGCGACAGGCAGCTGCTCCCACAGGCAGGAGGCCGGAGCCAGCAGTGTGGAATGTAGAGAGTAGTGGCATCGGCTGTATTGTTTGTCTGGACCATGTTTCCTCCCTCCTTAGGTCAGGTCTGAGGAGTGAGGCTGGCTGTGGTTTGAGAAATACAACTTAAAGTAGCTTTGTTTCCCAGATGCAGAAAGCTTGGAAGAAGGGGACAAAAACCCCGTAGCAGACAGAGTTCTCTGAAGAGGGATGGGAGGGCGATTCTAGTTTCCTGTGGCAGGCAGAGGATGGGAAATTTCCTACCTCGTATAGAGGAGTGATGGGGGTGGGCAGGAAAAGTCTCCCAAAGTCAGAAAGCTTTGTGCAGGTGGAGGGTGGTGGAGCTGGGTTAGTTACTGTTCTGGGAGGTTTGTGGCCAGATGTATTTGGGAAGCTGAAGGCTTGAGTTTTCTTAGGCCTAGAAGTTTAGGTCTGTTCTAAGATGAGAGCTGTCATACCTATTTTGTTCTTGTAAGTGTTCATGTTTGCCTGAAAATAATTGGATGTAAGTGTTATGTGTGGGCTTGTGACTGTGCCTTGCCCCACCTTACATCTTAAAAGCAACAGATGTATGTTTGGGGGCTGTCTGTTTGGTTGTTGGGTTTTGTGGGTTTTTTCCTGCTTTTTTTTTTTCCTGGAATGAACTTTGGAAACCGACTTTTCAGTTCAGTTATGAAGCACCTGTGAAAGCATTAAGGGCATGGCACAGCCTTAGACTCTCCTCAGTTCTGCCATTTCCGTTCATGTGAACGTGAGACACTTGGCATAAATGGCTGCTAATGCATGAGCTGCCTCATGGTTTACCGAATACCATGGGACATGCCTGCTACCCTTTGTGTCCATGTTGTGTTTCGTGGTGTGGTGGTTTGACTTTGGCTAAATGCCAGGTACCCACCTGTCTGGATCCGATATCAGGGAGAGTTCTGAAACGATCCCAAGCGCAAGATCAGGGCAAAACGAGGTCAGACGCTGTACAACGTTATGAACTTCTTTTTCTATAACAACTGATAAGAGCGATAGGACAGAGAGGAAGAGAGGAAAAAGTCAGAATGCCTAAGCAAGACAACAGTAGAGATGCAGCTAGTTCCCACCACTGCCACCAGGGATCCAGCGATGTTCCGTCGGCTTGTTCTTGGTGCCGATGATGTTGCATGTTCCTGGCTCTGTCGAGGTCTCCAACAAGCAGCAGCAGCAGCAGCATCCCGAGAGAGGAGTACGGAGCCCCTTTATAGTCCCCGTCCCCGCGATTTCTCCAGGAAGCCCTCCCATTTTCACGGGGGCTGGTGGTGATATTTGCCGCCCCGTGGTCCTCCATGCGTGCAGGCCCAGGTGGTCGCGGTGGTCTTGCCGTTGGGGGTCGACCTGCGGTGCCTCCAGCCACGACACGTCTTCCTCGCCGCTACAGTCTGGCCCGGCCCGCGTGGGTGCAGCTCGGTGGGCGCTGCCGAGGCTGCTGCTGCTCCAGCCGCGGGCGGACGTCGGGTGTCATCGGGGACTTTGCATCTTCAAGGCGCGCTCCTTGGCAACGACAGGGTGCTGAGGGCGGGATGGGGGGTGGTGAAGCAGCAATGCTGAGACAGGCAGAAGCCCGAAAGGCCCCTTACACCACCAAGTTGCTCTATCACTTTTCCCCCTCTTTCCCCTTGTTTTCTCAACAGGGCAAAGAGGGGAAAGAAAGTAAGACAGACCAACCCTTGTGGGTGAAACAAAAGCAGTTTTAATATAAGCACAGCGAAGCAAAGATCTGCATGCGGAAGCAAGAAAAGCAAACAGATTTATTCTGTCCCTGCTGTGGAGAGGCGCTGTGGGGCCTTCTCAGGAAGCGGGGCTCCCATACGCGGAGTGGTTGCCTCGCAGGACCAAGGGTGACCTCCCTTCCTCCTTTCTCCCAGCTTTCTACTGAGCAGATGACACAGGGTCTGGAATGTCCCTTGGGTCGGTTCAGGTCAGCTGTCCTGGCTGTGTCCCCTCCTGAGATCTTGCCCACCCCGTCCCAGCGGAGCCCTGGTGCTGGGTAAGCACCACTCAGCAGTAGCCCCCACACCAGGGTGCTGCCAACACCCTGCAGCTCCCAGCACAGACCACAGCACCATGAGGGCTGCTGTAGGGGAAAAGCAATTCCAGCTCAGCCAGACCCAGTACAGGTGGTTTGTTTTTTTTTACTTGACTAAAGTTTCTGGGTAAGGCTCTAGCAAAAGCACAAGTATACATACTCCGGGTATTGCATGCCTGGTGCATTTTAAGGACTGCATGTTATGAGCATTCAGCTAATGCAACTGAAGTGAAAATGTATGTGTCCCCATTTGGGGAGTGCCATCGTATTGGCAACACCACCACCACCACCACCACGCTTTCTTTTTTTTTAAACTGTTGCCTTAGTAGTGGCTGCTTGTCTCCTTAAGTCCTGTGGTTAAGCAGAGAAGTGCTTAGCACAAGCATACAATTTTATTAAACTTACACCTGGCCAGATATTTGCTTCATGGTAAAAGCCCGTGTGAATGCATTGTTTTTAACGATATGGAAAATTCAGTAATACTTACCCAAATTTAGGAGGGAAGTGTGCAGGTGGCTTTGGGTGTTGCTATCTTATGTTCTCCCAACTCTTTAAACTTTCTTTTCCCTTCTTGGATTATATTGAATGAAAGAGCTGGGTTGTTGAATTGAAAAGCTTTCCTGTGAAACTCACTGGTTTAGAGTTAGAACTAAGTTTCAGTAACCCAGGCATTTGTAAATGGAGCTATCATGATGGAGTCAGTAAACACACTTCAATAATTTAATGCTTTGCTCTCTTCCCTCCACTGCTGCCTCCCCCGCTCCCACCCCATGCACAGTCTTCCTGACGTTACCACTCAGCAGGATAGGAGTAGATGAGCCCAAAAAGCTTTGCCTTGGCACGCTTGTGTTGACTTCGTTTGGGTTTCGGTGATGAAACCCAGAGGTGAAAGAGAACCACAGGAGTTCAACAGTCTGCTAATAGCACAGTGCTGCAAAGTCCTACTGCAGTAAAGCCATTTTTCCTGAGACAGGCCTTTCCTGAGAAGTTGTTTGTGTGGGTTTTTTTCTGAATGGTTCATGTTTTGTTCTGTTTTTTTTTTTTAAGCCTGAGATGGAACTGCAAAATCTGTAACACATTCAAACCGAAGCTCTTGTGGCTGGAAGTAGAACAGCAGTGTAAGGATTGGTCTGTGTATCGCACTAGTAGAGAAAAGCAGAAATTATAACTAAGTAGGATTTCAGCTATCGGGTGCTGTTAGTTTACAGCAAAGAGGGTTTTGTTGGCTTTTTTTTGTTGTTGCATAGATATTTTTGTTGGGTTTTTTTGCCCAGGAGGAAATGATACCTGTGTTTCCTTGCTGTTCAGCAGAGTAATATTTCTGCTGTTCATAATTATCATGGGATAAATTTTTTATAGCAGTACAGCTGTGTTAGAGCAAGTGTAACAAAAAGCCAGAGTGACGACGATGCTAACTGGTGTTACAGCTGGTTTATTTGTAGCTGATCAAACACACCTTTGCACTTCGGTTTTAGTTGTCTATCACACGCTCATTAACATGGCGTATACGTGCTTGTGTTTTTCTAAAGGATGCAGTTTGATAGATAGTCACCATCTCAAGCAGCAAAGGGAGAAACTTAATCCGCTGTTTAACTACTCTTACTTTTTTTTTTTCTTTTTTTTTAATGAGAGGAGAAAATGAGTCATAACTAAGGCAGGGGAAGGATAAGATGAATAAAAGCTTCTCACAATAATAGCCAGTAATAATTACAGAAAGTACCATGCTGATCTGAGGATCTGGCTGTTGAGAGTAATATATTTAACAGCAACATTCTTTGGTAAATGTGGAGAATGAGTGTCAGAATACTTACCTGGGAAGGCAGGCATTCCTTCTTGTAAGGAGTATCTTGAAAGGCCTCTTTTTTTTTTTTTTTTTTTTTTTCCTCCAGTGAACTGTGCATAAAGCTCTGAACAGGACTGTAATTTTCATGTACTTGGTCACTTAAGGCTCCACCCAGCACCCGCTAAAATCAACGGCAAAATTCTTGCTGACTTCAGTGAAGGGGCTGGAACCTCAGATGTACGTGTTTTCTCTGTCATGGGGGATAATGCCTGCTTTCTTTTTCCCTGCAAAGTCTGAGAAGCCTTACCTACATCCGAAGATGCAGACTGTGAAATGCCCAAGTTCTAAGCACTGTTACTGTTTCCTTCCTCTTCTGCTTCAGCTGCCAAAGGCCGACACCCAGTCGGTGTATCCGTGTGTGTCTCTATTCCTGGCATGAATTCATGCTGCTTTCATTTACAGGTAGGATTCCCTCCATAATGTGAAAGCACGTATTATAAGATGTGAACCTCCCTCCACATCAATTTCTTATTACCTAATTTTGTAGAATGTGTAAGTTGGTGTTTAGGAGTGACAGCTGGTTATTTGCTTTCAAAAAGCAGCGTCAAAAGAGAAGATTTTATTAGGATATACTTACTCTTTCCTTTCTTTACTTTTTGGCCTATAAAATAATCAGAACAATGCTTCTGATGAAAGACTATCGTTAGAACGGCTACATGTGACTGGTGAATTATGTGGTCTGGATTTTATGGATTTTAATGGAAATGGCTTTTTGTTCTCATCAGCTTTGCTTCTATTCAAGGTAAAGGGAAGCAATGCAAGCTTGTTGTTGAGTCATTGTCAGGAAAACATATATTTAGAACTTTGTTGTTATTTCTTTTTTGTAAACAAATCCAAACAACTTCAATAAATAATGGAGGGAAAAGGACAAATAGTCAGAGCGCTAGCTTTTGATCGTAGTTACCCATCTATCTGCTGCAACTTATTTGATTAACAGTAGAGTCCAAGGATCCTAGCATTGTTGTTCCTGACATTGTGAAAATAATACTGTCCCTGTCCTGAAGAGCTTGCAGTCCAAAAACATGCTCCCGTTTCGTATTTTTAGTCAATAAGAATAATTTGAGAGAAATTACCTTAGATAGTTCTACCAAGCAGACAGCTTTGCCAAGTAAAGCTACTTGAAATATTTAAAAGTATGAAGATGCAGTATTGAGGGGCCATAGATAGCACTTACTTGCTTCAGTCCCTATCAGACTCCTTGTGCATGACCTGGCGGAGATGGCACAGATACCTACAGTTGGTAGGAGTAAGGACTTTAATATTGTTGCTTTAAGTCTAACCAAACATAGTGTCACAAGTCAGCCATGGGAAAAATATTGTAAGCTAGCAAAGGTGTCATTCTAGATGTAAAATAAGCATCTGTGCTCAGAGGGCTCAGTTTTCTATTTTAAGGAGAAAATATTTAATAAAATATTTCTAATGAAAGCAAATAATGATAAATAATGTTCTATTTGTACAGTAGCAACGATCTCAAAATATAGCCTCTGCTCTTGGAAAAAAACGAATGAAACAAAGGATCTGTCAGAACAATGTAGTAGAAAAACAGAAAATTCAACCATTACTGAGACTGTGATCAGTAAGAATAATTTATTTCTGCCATCTGCCCAGGCTGTGTGAACTTTAGTTTTCAATCTAAAACCAAAATCCAAGATCAGGTGTCAGCTTTATTTCATGCCAGGTAAAAACATAGAGGAGAGGTATTTAAAGGAGTAGAAGGCAAACTGTAGACTGGGGTGCAAATGCTTCAGACAGCTCCGTTGCAGCTTTTTGATAGTGAAGAGCTTTGGTTTCCACAATGTGTGATAAAGGTCAAAATCCTTTTCAAAACCATGAGGAAGGAGAGCAGGTGTTCAGCAGGTAGAATATAGAAGTAAGTTTTCCACCAAAGCATTACCAGATAAGTATATAAATTTGTAGGACTTAGCTGTAGTCAATTAAAATTATGCATCCAGTGGAATGGACAATAGATGTTTAATTGATCTCACTGAAGCCATAATATCTTAAGGAAGCAAACAACTTCATGAATAAATTTAGAAACGATTAATGTGCTGAACTGTTTTGTGTAGAATACTCAAATAATTTGAAATCTGTATAAAGACTTTTATATCTAACTTTGCAACTAGAGGAAAAGATCCTTTGGGTGGGAATACTTTTTTGCTGTCTTAGCATGAGTAAAATATTGCTGCTTCTTAACTATGTAATGACACGAGGCTGAAATTATTATGAAACCTG